TCCACACCCCGGGCCTCCGGGACCCCGCGTCGCGTGCCCTCCCCCGGGGGCACGCCCTCCCCGAGCCCACCGCTGGGCATCCCCGTGCTGTGGGTGTTGGCTTCCCCTGCGCTCAATCAGGGTCTCGCTCTGGAGCCCCGGTGCCTGCTGCAGAGCCCCGCGCACCGCGGGCACCCAGAAAAGAGCCACCTACTTACTAATGTTGAACAGATGGTTTACCTTATTCCAACCCAGTGCTGGGCAACCATGGAAGGAACCACAGAGATCAAGCTCTCATGGGCTTTTTCTTCTGGTTCCTCAAGCTAGATGGGGAGCGCTAAATCAGGGCATTACATTTTAGGATTTAGATCCATGGAACGTAGTAAATAACAAACATTTGTGAACCATTTTCTGTGTGCCTGAAACTTTGTAAGAATGATCTTCATTTCAATAGATCCAGTACAGGGAGACAGAGGAAATGCGGGGAGGAGGATGGGGAGGACAAGAACTACAGCTGGAAATGTAGCCAAGGGCAGGATGCAGTGGTCCCCAAAATGCCAGCTGGGGAGTTTAGATCTTACTCATCTTGCAGGATGGATTAAAGGGGGCAGAGCCAGCAGACAGGGAGATCCATTAGGAGGCCAGGGCAGGCTAGGGCTGCAGACTGAGGTCCACTTTGGGGCTTTTTGTACCTCCCCACCCCAACTCCCTCCTGGGATCTGTGGCCCAAAGACTGGCTGCAAACATGGGTCCTTGAAAATGACCAGCTGGGTTCCCTGGCTGCTCTGAACACAAGGTTCAAGGCCGGAGTGTAAGGGGTTATTATGCAAATCACTGCTGCCCCCACCACCAGCAGCTGGCATTGCACAGGCATTAGTTCATTCTGGGCTTAGCAATCACTTACAATGGCACCCACCACTGCCCAAGGTCTTGGCTTTATTCAGTCCCCAAGGCCTGTACTGCATGTACTATCTATGCCTTTTGAAAGAACTTGTCCTTGCCCCCTTCTGTCTCAGAGGCAAGAGAAAGTATCTGTTTTCATCACAGCCCTCATCCAAGCCTCCCAGCTACCAAGGCTGAGGTTTGGAGCAATAGCCTAAAACCTCAGCTGGAAGGCTGGGCACTAAGCACGGCGACACACAGGGTGAAGAACGTGTTTTCCTTGTAAGGTACAAGTACTAGAGCTGTTCCCTGGCTGTGTCCCTGGCAGGAAGAGGGAGGACGTGTTCACAGAGGTGTACAGTATGCCTTTCCCTTAGGTACTCAGCAGGCCTGAGCAGAAAACACTTTGTCCTGATGTGACAATCTGTGAGCATCTTTACTCAGCAGGGTGTGTGTGTGTGGTGAAGGCAGGGTGGTTGAAAAGGAGAAAGGGGCTCTTGGAAGGTGGCTGAGGACTCCAGCAGGAGCTCTCCCAAGTCTCCCAGACACAATGAAATGAAGTCTTGTCAAGGTGAAAGTTCCCTTTGGCAGGAAGCCAGTGACAGAGAAAGAACTGTTAGTAGGAAGTAGGTACCACAGTTTGTACATGAAAGAGTATTTATTGAAAACGTTACTGACAGGAAGCTCCTGGCTGTTCTCAGGTTACAATCTTGGCTCACAACTGGAAGTGTTACTTTTTTTTTTTGCCTCCAATTTTATTTTCCCTCAAACATTCCATCCTAGGATAGGTAGAACTTATATAAATATATATACATGTCTGTATAAGTATGGCCTATAGTAAAGAAAATATATAGTACACTCTTCATTGGGTGGTACCTACCAAGCCAGGCTACCAAAACTGAATGCCACTGTGTTCACGTATGTCCAAGGAGAGAGGCTGTGCATGTGGTTTACAAGTGTGGCAGCACCAGGGAAGCCTGTTGGCACAGCTGTGGCCTTAGCCAGGTCCCTGAAATCATGGCCAATGACAGAAACCACAGCGCTGGGATGGGAAGGAAGGGAAGCCAAACTTCCTGAAGTCTGGAAGGCCAAAGGAAAGCCAAACGGAGGGAGCTGCACTTCAGGTTAGGTGGGAGATCTCTTCTGGAAGAAAGGAAAGATTTAAGTGTAGGGGGAGGGGAGTGGACTCGAGTGACCTCTCCACAGTCTAGGCCCAGGCTTGCCTGGGCTCTCCCTGCAGAGTTCCTTGAGACTAAGAGGGTGGGACTCAGCCTTCATGTCTCTGACTTGCCAGGATGGGAGGCTGAGAGCTTGTAGGGAGAAATTTCCATCTGCCCTAACAACTATGTGGGTGAGAGAGACCCAGTGGCTCTAAAGACGAGAGATGCTAGGGCCAAATCTCAGCAGCAGTAGCATGTTAGCCCTGTGTGAGGCCGGAGTGAGCCCTCACAAAGACGACAAAAGCAAGGGCAAGGCCTCTGCTTAGATCTAGGACACTGGCACGGTTCACCCAAAGGCAGTCTCTCCAAGGCTCTCAACATGCCCAGCATGTCTATCCTCTGCAGGCAGCCTTTCCTGGGCCAGCTCTTGCCCACATGGGGAGCCTGCTGACCACTGGAGAGGAAGCTCAGGAAGAAAAGGTGAGTGGCTGTTGTTAAATCCAGCTCAAGAAGCAGTTTCTTGACCCAAAAGGCAAGGGCATCTGCTGTTCATTCCTCATAGCCCAAACTCAGGCTCCACAGTGATGGGGAAGGCAGAGCACCTGCCTTCAGGACTCATAGTAGATGGGGACCAAGAGGAAGCTCTGGGTGGTCAGAGGTGGGCTGGAGGAATGGTTGGCATTTACTGGCCACCACAGTCACCACAGATTCTGTACAAGCAAAAGTCAAGGCACCAGACTGTGAGTGTTTCTCCTGGGCCCCAAATCCCTTCCTGGGTGCCATTGCCTCTGGCTCAGGCTCAGCCGTAGTGATAGACAAAATCATAGCTGCTGGGCTCCTTGGGCACTGGCGGGGGGGCTTCTGGAATCTGGATGTTCTCCAGGTCCAGGAGCCGCAGCTTCATCTCCATGCTCAGCAGGGTGTCCAGGTCACTCTTGGTCAGCTCACTGGACATGTCCTTCCCCAGAAGGGCACTGAGGCCGTCAATCCAGATGCAGTACTAGGAAGAGCAAGTTGCAAAACATCACATGGTGGCCCTGGTCAACAAGGGGTCCTGTTAAGGTTCCTTTTCTAGGACTTACACTGGTCTCTTTGGCACTACTCTGCACAGGCAAAACTGACTTCAGATAATAGAAAAGATAAATTGGGAGCTGATCATTCACTTTCTCAAAAGACCTTTTGGTTTTTATGAGGGATTGACATTTAAATTCCCTTAGATATTATAAAATCTGATTTTTAAAAGTGCAATTAAAGAATACAGCAAAACCAGACCTGAGAACAGGGGCATCGAGTACCTGAAATTGCCCCTGGAATTAGTAATGGGAAGGGGGAGACTACAAACTAGGAGAAAAAAGCAGGACACAGAAGTAACCACTGTGGGACCTTAATTTTGTTTCAAAAAAAATAAACTAAAAAAACCCCCAGTCAATAAATGTTAAGATTAAGTACTGGAGAAATTGAAATTGAGGGTTTCACGATAAGAAGGAATAACAGAGAATTCTCAGCCTATCCTTTCCTAACCCATCCTGTTCCATCTTGTTCTGTGCCTTTGCTTGGCTGTTTCCCTCCTCACCTGCTGGTCCTTCACTTCTTCCCAATAAAGCTCTTCAGCAGCTCAGGCCCTGCCTAAGTGTCTCCTTCTCCAGAAGCCCCGCCTCTAGTTTCCTCTGATGGCTCAGCGCTCAC